TTAGGACCTCTTTTGCCATTTGGGTTAGGCTATTTTTTAAGGTGTTATTTTCTTCAGTATTTTTTTTGGGTCTGCTTTAGCATCACTCTCAGTTTTTCCTCTCCTTCTCTTACTTGCTTCTCAAAATCCTTTTTGAACTCTTCCATGGCCTTGGACCAATTCATATTTTTCTTGGAGGCTTTGGATGTAGGAGTTTTGGCTTTCTTGTCTTCTTCTGGTTGTATGTTTTGATCTTTGTCACCAAAGTAAAATAATGTAGTCTGATTCTTTTTGCTCTGCTTGCTCATGATCCCAGCCAATTACTTGAGTTATAAACTCTTTGTTAAGGTAGGAGTCTGTTTCCAGTGTGGAGAATGTACTGTCCCAAGCTTCAGGGATTTTGTGCAGCTGTTTTCAGAGATACTTCTAGAGACCTGTAAATTTTCAGTTCTTCCAAGGTGTTATGATCAAGGGGAGGTGTTTACTCCTTTCCTTTCCTGGCCTGTGCTGTGCTCTATGAGTGACCACAAGCACTCTCCTCTGTCTTGGAACTATGAAGAGGATTTCTTCATCACAGCCCCTACAAGCTCCATCATGCCCCAGGAACACTGCCCAGAGCTGTGACCCAGATCCAAGCATGGGCAAAGCAAGAGAATCCTGCACCAGCAGAGAGATCCCTGCAATCTCCCTCTGATCAGCCACTGGATTCCGTCTCAGTCTGTGGGCCAGAAGCTCTGGAGACAGCCACTGCCCCTGGGGCAATGCTCTGGGGACTGGGACCATGTTTCTCTCTCTCCACCACAAACACAGACTTTTCCTACTGATCTTCTAAGTTGTCTTTGGCGTTTGTGGGTTGAAAAGTCTGGAAACCGCCACAGCTGCACATGGTTCAGAACTCTGAGGCCTGCTTCAGGTTTGCTGCAGGCTGCGCACCCGTGCTAAACTGTGCTTGCTCTTCTTTCCCCCCCTGGCGTGATATACCTTTCTAATCAACCATCCAGGCTGTCTTGGGCTGGAAATTTGTTTCACTCTGTCTTTTTGTGGGTCCTGCTGCTTTAGAATTTGTTTAGAGCCATTTTTTATAGGTATTTGGAAGGGTTTAGGGGAAAGCTCAAGCAAGCACTGCATTTATTCCACCATCTTGGCTCTGCCCATCCCGTGCAAAAACTTTTCAATTTAATGTAATTAAAATCATCCATTTTGCATTTCCTAATATCCTCTATATCTTCTTTGGTCATAAATTCTTCTCTTCACTGTAAATCTGACAGGTAAAGTATTCTTTGCTCTCCTAGTTTGCTTATACTATCAGCCTTCGTGTATAAATTATGTACCCATTTTGACTTTATCTTGGTATGTGGTGTAAGATGTTAGTGTATGCCTAGTTTCTGCCATAGTGATTTCTAGTTTTCCCCTCAGTTTTTGTTAAATAGTGAGTTCTTATCCCAGAGGAGTCTTTGGGTTTATCAAACAGTAGATTACTATACTCATTGACTACTGTGTCTTGTGTACTTGATCCACCACTCTAGTTCTTACCCAATACCAAGTGGTTTTGATGATTACTACTTTATCATAAAATTTAAGATCTGGTGCTGCTAAGGTCACCTTCTCTAGCATTTCTTTTCATTAATTCCCTTAATATTCTGGACCTTTCTTCTTCCAGATGAATTTTGTTACTTTTTTCCCAGCTCTATAAAATAAGTTTTTGGTAGTTTGATTGATGTGGCACTGAATAAGTAAATTAATTTAGGTAGAATTGTCATTTTTGTTATATTAGCTCAGCCTACCCATGAGCAACTGATATTTTCCCAAGTATTTAGATCTGACTTTATTTGTGTGAAAAGTGTTTTGTAATTATGTTCATATAGTTCGTGGGTTTGTTTTGGCAGATAGACTTCCAAATATTTTATGTAGCTTTAAATGGAATTTCTTTTTTTTCTATTTTTTTTTGAAAGGCAATGGGTATTAAGTGATTTGCCCAGGGTCACACATTCAATAAGTGTCTGAGGCTAGAGTTTGAACTCGGGTCCTCCTGACTCCAAGGCTGGTACTCTGCTGTGCCACCTAGCTGCTCCTGGAATTTCTCTTTCTATCTCTTGCTGTTGGGCTTTGTTAGTGCCAGTGATTTATGTGGGTTTATTTTATATCCTGCAACTTTGCCAAATTTGTTTATTTCAAGTAATTTTTTACTTGAGTCTCTGAGTATACCATCTTACCATCTGCAAAGAGTGATAGCTTTGTTTCTTCTTTGCTTATTCTAATTCCTCCAATATCTTTTTCTCCTCTTACAGCTAAAGCTAACATTTCTAGTACAATATTGAATAACAGTGGTGATAATGGACATCCTTGTTTCACCTCAATCTTACTGGAAATGCTTCTAGCTTATCCCCATTACATGTAATGCTTGCTGATGGTTTTCTCTGTATTACTTTTGAAGAATGAAATTTTCATTAAGGCAATTTTGATAAAGGAGAATGGCTTTTAGAGGCAATAGGAGAAGTTGATACCTTGTAAATGGGGTAGGATGCAGATTAAAAAGCTGACACTAACTCAAACATAAGTTTAAGGATGTTTAGCATCAGGACAAAGAATCTTACACACATCTCAGTTGCCTTGAGAAGAAGTAGAAATCAGTGTGTGTAGAGTTAGTCCTTGACCAATTGATATCCCCTCTCAAGTTAGTTAATGTCATAATAGAAGGGGCTTATAACATGTTTTAAATGAAACACGGTCTTGTTTATACCTTATTGCACCTTTACAAAATCTTCAGTTTCACTGGTGGAATTGGAAGGGCAGCTTACATTTGGCTGGCAAAAAATTGGTCACAATGCTGATGGCCTTTCAAAAGCTATACTTGCCAGTCCTGGAGACAGCCCCACTCACCCATTGTCTTACTCATCTTTGGTGTCTTGGAGCAGATTGATTCACCCAGTAGAATACTCTGTTTCATTTAGGGAGCAGAGAGAGAGAGAGGGAGAAAGCCAAGTCAGAAAGCAGATTGGTGAAGTATGAGCGAGCACTCTACCAGAGCACACAGCAAGGAGTTGAGGTGGATTATATTTCTCAGCCCCACTATCCATAGCATCTTGTCCACTGGCCCACTGAAGCCAGTACATAACAGAGAATTGGTGGAAATGGCAGCAGAGAAGAGAGCCTACTGTGGTTTCAAGAAGGAGTTAGCCCAGGCACTGAGGAGAGCAGCAGACTAAGAACCTATCTAAGCAACCTGGTCAACACAGATGCTACCTCAGATGGTGCAGCTTGAGTACACTGTAAGAAGAGAAAGGACATTGAGGCCCTACAGTACTGGAAGCATTACTTAGGCTAAATATGTTTCCTTCATGTGTACTTCACTACCAGTATACTCTTAGTTTTTCCTCACTCTTAACTACTGCTTTTTTAATATGGGGGAAAATACACCCCAAGTTTATGGTGTGTGGGGAGGTAGAACTGTTGTATAGTTACTTTCTTACTATCCTATCTTAATAACTGTCTTTTCCTTGAGTTCACTGTATTTATGGGCTAACTATTTAAAAATAGGTGTACTGGTTGGGGCTCATGAGCTGTAATTTTAGTAGTGCAAACCCGTCAATTTCCTTTGAACCCTGGAGATAATGGTTTCCCCTTTCAGACTGAACCTACATCCTTTGAATGCTGGATTTAGATGAAAGTGCTACCAGAGAGGGGCTCTACATGGTATTATAACACTTAGTGATAGTTATTGTTATCATTTATGGTGGTAATACCAGATTACCAAAAGTAGATTGAATTTTATTCAGCATATTCTTTTAAGGAGACAAGGAAATTTGTAATACAATTTAGATTTCTACCTAACATACTTTTTTAAAAAAAATAACAATTTTGGTGTTTGGGGGTGAAGTTCGATTACCCAGGAGGCTTATTGATATGGAATTGCCCATTCCCTGGAAGTGCCAAGTAAATGGAAATAATGCTATGTTTTAAATGTGTTTTAGTATGTTATCAATTTAATGTGAGAATTATTTTCAATTCAGTACATATTTCTTGAGCAGCTGTTAGTTTACTTCATGCTTACATTTCTTGGGTAACACACTGTGTAGAGTAATACAGGAGGCATAAGAGAATGTAGAACACAAGTCTCCTGCCTCTAGTACATTAGTCTTTATAAGAAGATCTAACAGGTACTTGAAGTAATAATTAAAGAATATTTATAAGGCCATTTATCATTGAAATTAGTATAAACTAATCAATCCAGTAGAGACCTGGATGTCCAGAGGAACTCTGTCTTCTCCCCCAGTTAATCCACTCAGCTCTGACCTCATCTGAGCTATCCTGATTACTTGATGAGTGACTAAAAACTCACTTAGCCTGTTTTTATCTGCCTGGCTCCAGACCACTGTTTGACCTCCCATTTAGCTATCTATAAGGAAACTAGGGCCTGTCCAGCTCAAGCATCTTATCTGCTCTGCCACTGTGAGAGTACTCTCACTTCCTTATGAGCCTCCTTCTTCTTATCTTGTCCTAGGAAAAGTAGTCAAATCAGTGAACCATCTTTATTAGAATGATATAACAATTATTTGCCTTATAGAATTACCCTCAATTCCTGTGACTTCTTTCTGCAGGTCAAAACTCCCTTCCCTGGTTCCAACTTCTCTTATATGTGTTATTTTCCACTGTTAGAAATAAACTTCTTATATAATTATATCTCCACTGCCGACCATATGTGCCTGTTGTATAGTAGGTGCTTAATAAAGCCTTTTTTCATTCATTTGATTATCAAGGGATCCCTGGAAGAAATGAATATGGTAAGAGTGTTACATTTTTTTAAAAAAAATACAGAATAACATCTCTCTTTTGCATGTAATGTTGAAGTAGAAACTCATTCCTATATTAACATTGTAGAGAATTTTTTTTTTTTGGTATATAGAATACCATGGCATATTGTAGGGGTTTTTTTTCCTTTGTAAGCTTTTTGAAGAAAATATTTTGATCAGCTATTCATGACTACACTCCTTTATTCATGTCCTTTTCCCTTTTGTTCTCAGGTGACTGTAATGCCCCAGATGAGTACACTAATATGGCGCTGAGTGAGGTATTCAGAGGTGAATATTACTTTCCTATTAACAGCAGTGTGGTTTTGTGTGTCGGCCAGGATATACTCTCAGTAAACCTGGGCCTCTTATCAGTACTTGTCAAGATGATGGAACGTGGTCACCTGTGTCAGGGTCTTGTAAAAGTGAGTAATTCTATCACATGTATTGTATCTTAGTCGTTATTATTGGAATTTTCCATTCATTTGTGTTGGACTACTGAATCCATATTCTTTCCTGTGATCATTTTCATACTTAATTACAGGCTGCCATGTACTTTTGAAATTTTCATTGTTTACAGAGAATCTTTGTACTGTTGATTTTTTCAGCAATAATTTTCATTGATGCTTTCTGTTTTTACATCAATTATTTCAGAATGTTCTTCCCTTCACCCCCACCCCACCCCCATGAGGGACCTTTGTATCCAGTAATCCATCCCTATAACAAAAGAAAACAAAAACATTTACTTCAGCATGTTGAACATATGTAACAGTTTGCATTATTTTGCACCCATAATTTCCCACTTCTCCACCAAAAAGGGGAGATTCATTTCTTCATCTCCTTTGGTGCAGGTTTAGTGATTAAAATGACTTAGCAGTTGGCTTCATTTTAGTGCTCTTTTCTTTTGTTATTTCGTTGAGTATATTTTCCTGTTCAGTTTATGTCATTCTGCATTACTTCATAGAAGTCTTCCCATATGTCCCTGGTCATCAGATGCATTTTTTTTTCAAAAATGAAAAGTTTTTCCAAAAAATGCAAACTTAACCATATGAAAGAGTACAATTCTAAGGGCTGTGTGATAAGACAGGCACCTTAATATGCTGTTGCTACAGCTATGAATTGATGTAACATTCTGAAAAGCAATTCAGAATTATGTGAGAAAAGTAATTAAGTTCTAAATAATCTTTGAGCCAGAGATTCCACCACTAGGAAAAGAATGAAACACCTCAATATTCACATGACATTCATATACTTTTGTTCAGCCATAGTCCAATCAATGGGAACCTATATTGTTTCTAATTTTTTGCTACCACAAATTTGGTGCTATGAATATTTTGGAATTGGAACCAAATGAGCTACTTGGTCATTCAATATTTAGCTCTAGCAAAAAGCTGTTCAGTAAGAACAGGCATTGAGGTACCTGAAGTTGATTCAGCTGAGCCAAGCTCCCCTGTCTGAGATGCCTAGGGTGATCCATCACCCAAGCATTGGAGTTCCCTGAAGTGACTTCTAAGGCAGTGAGGAAGTGACATCAACAGCCTGAGCCTTAAGTTACCTGAGCTAATTAGGTCTTGAAAAAGCCTTCAGTACTTCAAAAGCTGTAAAATTTGCCCACCGGAGTGGGAGATGGGGTTAGGATATTGCTGTTTCTATGCACCATATACCACAATGAACCCAAAATGCTTGTGCAGCTTGGTTATTAAAAATCAGACCATAAAATAATTAGAAAAGAACTAGATCAGGTACCTTTTGCAGCTGCGGCTAGAGGGAGAATTCTTTAACCAAACAAGGTAAAAAGAGATGATCACAAAAGATAAAATCAGTAATTTTAGTTTACATGAAATTGAAAAGTTTTGGCATAATCAGTGCAATTAGGAAAAGAAGGGAACTTTTGATTGAGGAAAAATCTGTATATCATGCCTATGATAAGGTCTGGTATCCAAATAAGGAACCCACACAAATGTTAAAACCATTTTCTAGTAAATCGGTAGTTAAAGATTATGAACATAAAGTTCTCAAAAGAATGCAAACCATTAACCATTTGAAAGATCACTCAAAATAGCTAATAATAAGGGAAATGCAAATCAGATAATACAAAAAATGAACATTTAAAAACCTGAGATTTCACCTCACACTCAGCAAACTGGCAAAGATGACTAAGGATAGGCATAGTCATTACTGGAGGGGCTGTAACCAGGTATTATGCTGTTATGAGGCAGCTAGATGGCTCAGTAGATACAGCACTTGGCCCAGAGTCAGGAAGATCTGAGTTCAAATCCAGCCTGTGTGATTCTGGGTAAGTCACTTAACCTCTGATTACCTGACAAATGGATCCACCAGAGAAGAAAATGGCAAACTCCCCTAGTATCTTTGTCACAAAAATCCCAAATGGGTTCATGAAAGATGAGACACAACTGAAGTGACTGAACAACAACAAAGGCACCTCCCCAAGAGTGGTCCAAGAACTACAGGTCTTATTCATTCACATGTTCATAAAATACTCTCTTGTGCTAGCAAGGATGTGTGTTCATTAGGGAGCAGATCAACAAAATGCAGTGTGTAGATGTAATGGGATATCGAGGTACCATTAAGAAACAATATGAAGAATTCAGTAAGTTGTGGGAAGATTTATATGAATCGATGTAGAGTGAAACAGGTATAGCCAGGAAAACAGTGTCTAGTATTATGGCAGCGTAAGGGGAAAAGCTAAAGAATGAGATTGAATGCTGTGTAATTATAATGACCAAGATTAGCCCCCGGTAACAGCACACTTCCTTTTCATGTAGAGATGGGAAACTGGAGGTGTGAAACATATGTACTCTGAAAAAGCTAACATGTTGGTTGGATTTTTTTTTTGGGGTGAGGCAATCAGGGTTAAGTGACTTGCCCAGGGTCACACAACTAGTAAGTGTCATGTATCTGAGGCCGGATTTGAACTCAGGTCCTCTTTGACTCCAAGGTCAGAATCCACTGTGCCACCTAGCTGCCCCTTTTTTCTCTCTCTTTTAAAATTTGTTATAAAGGTTGGTTCCATTGTTAAAGGAAACGTGAGGAATCTATTTGAAATTGAAGATTGCATAAAAATCAATTAAAAGTTAAATTTTTTATAATAAAATTATATTCCATTAAAAAAGAACACTTCTTATCTTTTGACCTTCTTTAGAAGGGAATAGCTCTTGTCCTTTCATATTTATGTTAATTCCCTGTGTATCTTGACTGCTAGATTTTTATCAGATGTTTGACGGAAGCTTTTCGCAGTTGAGAGTTTTCATTTCTATCTTAAATTGTGTTGATTTTGTTTGTGCAAAATTTTCTTAGTTTTATGTAGGCAATGTTCTCTATATTCCCTCTATTGATTGACCACTTTGTTGATTAAGAATTCTGCCTCTGAGGGGCAGCTAGGTGGCGCAGTGGATAGAGTACTGGCCCTGAAGTCAGGAGGACCTGAGTTCAGACACAAAACTCTTAGTAGCTGTGTGACTCTGGGCAAGTCACTTAACCCCAATTATCTCACCAAAAAAAAAAATTCTGCCTCTGGCCATAGTCTGCTTCCATTCTCCTCTGTTTTGTTATGACGTGGTCTTTCATATTTAGTTTGCACATCCATTGGGATCTTACCTTGGTATATGGTGTAAGATACTGTTGTAAATAATCTGTCTTCCTCCATATTACTTTTCAGCTTTCCCTGCATTTCTTGATAAGTTATTTTCTTTGTAATTATCAACCTTACCTATGACCTATAATGACATCTATAACAGATGAATCAAGAAAATATTCTGAGGAATTGAGGATTTAGTTTGTATTTGGGCACAGAAAGAACTCATTTTAGTCTTTCAGTCATTGAGTCATACTGGAAAACATCAAGGAGCATGTAAGCTCCTGAAGAGCAGGGGCTGTTGAGTTTTTGTCTCTGTATTCTCAGCACCTAGCACAATTCCCAGCACATTGTAGGCATTTAATAAATGCTTGCTGGTTGGTTGGTGTCTGCTCTATTCAGTGCACGGCAGCAAGTGGCATCATTAACATTCTTGTGGTGCTGAATTTGGAGACAGGAAACCTGTGATTGAGCATTGTGTCTGACACTTCGTAGCTAGGTGAGAGGGGGCAAGTTACCTAGCCCTTTGGGGCCCCAGTTTCCTAATCTTTAAATGGAGATAATGATACCTGTTGTGCCTTCCACCTTGGGTCACTCTGAGGTTCAGATTAGGTGTTGTATACATGCTAGATTGTTAGATAAGATATCTATAAAACACCTGATATAAGGTATCTCAATGTTTTTCTTACTATATAGATATCGATATCTGTATTCGTGTGTGTGTACCACTTTTAAAACTTTACAATGCTATGTAAATATTAACTTTTGTTGTTTTTTTTAACCAGAAAGAACATGCCCGTATCCATATGATTTAGAACACGGTCAAATTCATATACCAGATGCCTCAGTTGGTTCACAAATTACATATTCTTGTAATGAAGGGTGAGTTGTTTCTTAAAAAAATGGAGTGTGAGTTAACTCAGTTTTGTTATTTTGTTTCACAATTTTTAGGGCTTGTAAAACATGCACTATAATAGGCATCCTTATCTGTTCGATTATAATTAAATGATGGATTTATACTAGTAACTGTCATTGTGTGGATTCTTGAAGGCAACCCTTCCTTATTACAGGCTCTGCGGATCCCATTAACGTGGAAAGGCATTGTGGTATGGCCCAGTGGTGGCCTGTATACTGAGTGCTCAAAGGCAAGTCCAGGGAAGTTTGGAAGTGGCTTTACTTGACTGACAACATGAATATGGCATTATAATAGAACTGCTTTCCATATTTCCTGCTATTTGCAATCTTTTTTTCCCTGTCCCAAGAAAAATGAGAGGGAGGCTCTCATTTTATATATTTTTATATGTGTGTGTGTATATATATATATATATATATATATATATATATATATGTGTGTGTGTGTATATATATATACACATATATCCCCCATCTGTTAGGATGGGATATAGTTTGTTATACTGGATGAGAGAGGTACTTCATCTGAGAGGTCCAGTCCCTATCCTTCTATGCTATTGAGTGTCATAACTAATTATAATTATAAACATATTGCAAATATCTAGTTTGATAATGGTCACTGATGATTTTTGTCAGAGACAACCAAGTGAGCCTGTGGAAGGGAGCAATCATTAGTCTTGTTTAACTTGAGCTTCAGCCCAGGAGGCATTCCTGAAGGTGTTTACAAAGGAATTTGCTACTTTTTTAGAAAATACAGTCTTCACATTTCTGAAGGAGGCTGTTAGGGTAAGACTTTAATGGTGCTTACCTGCCTCCTTTCTGTTCTGGAAATGCCCATAATAAGCCATGAGCAGGGAGTTCTGTCAGTGCCATATAGCCTGAATGGTCATCATTTGCTTGATTATGATCTACCAGAATATTAGATTGCTGCAAGGTAATGGTGCTGTGATCCTACCAATGTTAAATATTCAAGAACTGTTTGTTTTCTCTTTGGAGAAGCGAATGTTGGAAAGAATTCAGTACTTACTGCAAGAAAGCATAGTACAATTAATTGTAATTGTAATAAAGTATAATACATTTTATTCAACAAATATTTATTAAATGCCAACTATGTATGTATTGGAGATACAAAGATGAAATTGGAGTCTTCATGGAACTTAAATAGTTTCTCTATATTAGTAATATGGGGAAATTAATGGCAATATGGAAATAGATAACCCTGTAAAGGTATTTTCATTAACTATCCTTCCTCTAGATACTGTTTATCTAATCTAACTGAATTAACAGATACTTTGCACATAGTAGCTACTAAATAAATATATTCGGTAGTGTATATTCAGACATATAAAATGTGGTCCCTGCCCTCAAGTAACTGACAGTCTATTTGGAGATATAAGTTATAGGCATATAAAATAATTCATTATTTGAATAAGATTGGTATGATAGTAATACATGAAATAACCATATGCAAATAGGCACTAGAATTTCTAGAGATTACTCTTGTTTGAGATGGCAAGGAAAGATTTCATAAATGACTAGCCCTGGAATGATGTGGAAAATTAGGTAGGTAGTAGATATGATGAGTAAAGGTATTCAAGTTGGGATAAACAATATAATAGCAAGGCATTTTTAAAATAAGGTCAGGTGACATTGAGAAAAAACTATTTAGCAAGGTCAAATTCATGTTAAGCATGTTTACTCTTCGCTTTTTTAAAGGTTAGGTATCCAGACACTATAGGTGTCTTTATTTGGTTAAGTTGTAGGAGTTTCAATTGTTACTTTTCTGATATATTTCTTTTTTTTTTTTTGGCTAGGCAATGGGGTTAAATGACTTGCCCAGGGTCACACAGCTAGTAATTGTTATGTGTCTAAGTTCGGATTTGAACTCAGGTCCTCACTTCAGGGCCGGTGCTCTATCCACTGCGCAGCCCAGCTGCCCCCTGATGTATTTCTTAAATCTTTATCAAAGCTTTGGTGTAACTGTAGTTTAGCAAGATGAAGGGTAATGTACCAATCTCCTGGCTTATCCCAGAAGTCTTATTGTCCTATAACATTTCCTCTTGTTTCCAGCTACACTTTAATAGGTAATGTTAATAGAAACTGTGAGCTTCATGGACAGAGAGTTGTGTGGACTGGTGCCGATCCATTTTGCAAAAGTAAGTAAATAATGGCTTTATACATTTAAAGAATTTTTTGGATGTATATTTGTAAACTGTGTGGTGTTTATCTTTTAATGTTATTCAAAATGTAGATTGAAATTCGTATTAAAATGTTATTCATCTTCAAATGGTCTTGACCTAGCATGGTAGTGCAGTAACCACCATTACTGTAATTGGTTATCTTTCTAACATTCATTTGTGAACTATAACAATGTCCTAGGTTAGCGTACCAAAACACATTTACTCATGATGTAACTGACTTATGCTAATGATACCAGCCTGAATTCTATGTCTTAAAAGTTTAGAGAAAAGAGAGTATCATTTCTTGGGGAAAAGACCAAACCCATAGCAAAATTTAGAAATGGGCCTCTTTTCCTTTTACATCTTTCTATCCCCTAGTGCCCTTCATGCTGCCCAAAGACTCTGACACTCTGTATCCAGGCCCACCTTCCAAAATACTCCCTACTCTGAAATTATATACTTGCTCTTCCTTGCCTTTTCTGCAATCCATTATCCTGTTCCTTTCATGTTGCCATCTCAGCTAGGAACACAACAGTTGGAACTAGTTCACACTGAATGCTTCCGTTCAATAATGCAGATATTTATTAAATGCCAGCCTGTAGAACACACTGTGCTAAGCACCAGGGATATAAAGATAAAGAACTGTTCTGTCCTCTGAGGCCTTTGCTTGGGGCAGCATTTAAGAGGAAGATGGGATATAACATTAAGTAACCAATAAGTTGAGCTGAAGAGTGAGAGGGTATTAACAACTAGGGGAATCAGGAAAAGCTTTCTGTGGTGAGAGTGGGAGGATAGCACCTGAGTTTGACCTGGGAGGAAGTCTAAAGATTTTTGGAAGTGAGGAAGGTGGGCATTCCAGGCACAAGGGGAAGCCTACACAAAAAGTGGAAAGGTAAGAAATGCAATTCTGAGTTCAGCTGAAACCTGGACGTGAGTAATTTGAAATAAGTCTGAAAATGTAGTCTGGAGACAGACTGTGAAAGTGTAAAGCTAAAGAGTTGGTATTATCTTGATCCTAAAGATAATAAGGAGCTATTGAGGCTTCTTTCACAAGGCAGTTACCTGACCAGACTGTGGTTTAGGAAGATTATTTTGGCAGCTCTGGATGCAAGGTGATCAAATAGAAGTGTGATATATACAAAGTTCAAGAGACAATTTCCAGGTAATTAATCATTTTATTAAGAATGCTAGCATATTATTAATAAAAGGATGGTCATTTGGCTGTCTCTCAGGCCAAAGACGAATCATGGAATGAACTGAACTTAACACTTACGTGCCCTTGGGAGAGTGGTGTTCCTTAGGGTGGAAATCAACTCTGATTCGTTAACAATTAATGAGAGAATTAAAATGAGAGGTGGACCTGTTCTAATGAAGGCTAGGGCACATGATTTTGATCCATTTACTTCCAAATCACCCCTAGCCTTGGGCAATTTAATCTAGGAATTTATCCCCACCCAAACCTAGATAAGATGGTCTAGGTGGGGTAAGTTTTTGTCCGGAGTCAGCAATGACCTTTAAAGACTCAGCTTCAAACAACTGGAAAAAAGCCTCCATCTCCCCCTTAACTGGTTATTACTAATCATTTCTCTCAGAAGGTTGTAACAATAGTCCAGGTAAGAGGTGGTATTTGGATTACAGTGGTATGGGTGGAGAGAAAGGGATGAAAGTAGAATTAAGTAATTGGATACAGGGGATGAGTTAGTGTAAAGAGTTTGGGATGACAAGCTGCAAACTTGGTTGGTTGGAAACACAGTGGTGTGTCCTCAACAGAAATGGGGAATTTCACAGAGAAGAGAGATGGGATTGGGGCAAGATGCTGATTGTTTGTTAAGCCCTCTGGAGAGAGTTGTGTTCTAAAAAGAAGTAGTGTACTTAACTACATTAAATCTCTTAATTGGTGAAATTTCAGGCTTTTTTGACATAGTGAAATGGGGGCGGAAAACTTAGAAACATCTTTTTGAATTAGGAGATAAGAATTCTAGTCAGGTTTTGTTCCCTTCAGTTTATTCCTGTTTTTAGAGCAGCAGATATTTATTAAATACCTATTATGTGCAAAGTCAGAAGCACTGAAATCAAGACAGAACTTTGGTCTAGGATTTTACATTGTATGCTTGATAACACATGAACCCAGAAAAGTAAATATAAGATCATTTGAGGAAAGAGAGGGCAAACTAACAACTTTGGGATGAGGAAAGGATTGCCAGAGGAGATAGCACCTGAGCTGAACCTTAAAGGAATAGAAGGAATCTTTGAGGTGTGGATGTATGAGGGTGGGGAGGAGTGATGAGTGAGAGCTGAGGAAGGGAGTTCATGCACAAAGGGCAGACTATACAAAAGCATACTGAAGTTGGACAGCCAGTAAAAGGTAATGAGGGGCTAACCTAGATTATTGGCCATATGAGTGCAGAAGAGAATGGATGTTAGAGGAGTGGAGGTAGAATTGGCAAGACTTGGAAAGTCATTGGATATGAGAGAAAGGGTTTGGGAGAAGGATAGGTTAAAGATAAATTCCAGGGTTGCTAACCTGGGTAATTGGGAGGGTGGTGGTACCCACAACTATAATAGGGAAGCTTCACAGCTCCTTCTCTTCCTCTGCTTCTGGAGCCACACTCTTCAAAGACTCACTTCACCTCCTTCACCCTCTTCTGATTTCACTGAAAGCCTCTTTAGTTTTCTCTTTCTTGGAAAGTACATTCACTGTACATAGCTATAGGTAAATAAGTGTCCTAATGCCTAACAAGCATGAGTCCAGCTCTTCTCTCTCACATTCTCTTCTGTTGGCTGGATCCTTTTTCCAAAGCAAAACTCATCTTTTACTTACCCAGGAAAAAAAGCTTCCCCTAGGATGGTGCTCATAATGGTCCCACCTAGGAGCCCTGGAACAGGCTGTTTCCAGGGCATGAAGAACAAGCACTGTCTATCTCCTCCTGCCAAGCAGGTTGCAGTAATTATGATAAAACTGGCTTGATACCCTGGGGAGGCTGTAGGCAGGTGCTGCTCTTGGCCTTCTCTTTCTCTCAGCCTACCCCTTCACCTCTTTCACCTAATCCAGTAATTGGGCCAGTGCAACCTTAGGTTGAGTTTCAGCTAAATGGTTAAGATTTTCTGTGCCCTTCAATATAATGTTTTTGGTTCAGCAAGTGAATAAAAGAAAATTCTTACTTTTAATTTTTTTCCCTATAAGTTAATACTTGTGAACGACCTCCACGCATCGAAAATGGGAAGCACAGTGATAGCCACAGGGTGTTCTTTACCTATGGTGAGTCAGTGACTTACCACTGCCATTCAAGAGATGGATATCATGTTTGGCTTATTGGAAATCCCACCATTTTTTGTGATAAAGATGGAGAATGGAATAAGTTGCCTCCTAAATGTAAAGGTAATGGATTTCTTTACAGTTTTTTCCTTCTTGATCTATAAATAGTAAAAGACTACTTAGAAAATACTTATAATGGGGTTTAGCAGTGTGTGAGTAGAGACAATGCCTGTCTCATGCTTCTTTTAAAAACTGCCTTTAACTTAACTCAGTGTGGCAGGTGTAGACTAAAAACCAATTTTGTTTCTGGAAATGTTGTTACCTATTCCTAGGGCTGGAAATGATTTGTATGGTGTGTGCTTTTTGGGGTCTCTACCATGATTGTATAGATATTCAAGGTATTTGATTAGAATTCTACTGAAGAAAAACAAAATCTGTACCAATATTTTCACATAAAAATTCACTACTAATTGTGAGAATATCATCACTACACATAGAATGAAAATTTTCACTTACTGTTCCTACATGGTAGGTTTATATTTGTGTTGCTTGCTTGTCTATTGAGTGAAGTTTACTGATTCAGCTTTAAAGAAGTTTATTCATCACCCAAAGAACCAGAGGTGGTGTTAGGATACATGTTACTCTGTGATGGTAAGTGCCTTAGTCACTTAGACCATGCTAACAGGTTTAAGCCATAGGCCTGGCTAAGTTTGAGAAAGGAACATCTTTTTTCTACAAACATTTTAAAAATTACCTTAAATATAACTACTTTAAAAAAAACCAAAATTAAATAATAGTATTAACAAGTTCTAAGTTAATGATGTTATATATAAATGTAATAGTTGATGATATAAGAATTTTAATTTAATAGCTAATAATAATATAAAATTTTTAAGAAAAAAGATACATTGTGCCTTTGGGTCTCTCTTCATTCATTCCCTCATTTATTGATTGATTGATTGACTGTTATATTGATATTATATTGATTGATTGTTATAAGGCCTAGTTTTGATTTGACTTTGGTTTTATTTCCACACAGCTTAAATAGCTCTTTACTAACCTTCCTTGAGTCCTTACACTGAAGTCATACCCTATCTAAGACTTACCCACAACTCTGGATCTTTAGAAAAGCATAACATCAAAAACCCTTGTAGGTTTTTACAAGTGTAAACTTGGTGATAATTTAGTTTCAGGCAGTACTTAACAAACTAGTTTTGTATCTACCACTTCCTAACCAGATGCCCCCTCCCCCTTCTTTTTTTAAAAAAACATAATGACATTAACAGGTGTTTTCAAATAATAAAAAAAAAAAACCTTTAAATTATTTCCCCACCATGGAGTTGTGAACTAGTCTAATTCTGGAAAGCAGTTTGGAACTGTGACCTAAGGGCTGTAAAACAGTGCATACCAGTGGCAGCTAGATAGCACAGTGGATTGAGCACCAGCCCTGGAGTCAGGAGGACCTGAATTTAAATCCAGCCTCAGACACATAATGCACACTAGTTGTGTGACTCTGGGAAAGTCGTTTAACCCCAATTACCTCACCAAAACGCCTCCCCAAAAAACTGCATACTCTTTGACCCAATAATACCATGACTCTATCCCAAAGGCTTCAAAGAAAAAGGAAAAGGACATATATGTACAAAAATATTTATAGCGGCTCTTTTTGTGGTGACAAAGAATTAGAAATTGAAAGGATGCCCATCTATTGGAATGGCTGAACAAGTTATGTGATTGTTATGGAATACTATTGTGATGTAATGTAAATGAACTGATACAGAATGAAGTGAGCAGAACCAGGAAACCATTGTATGCAGTAGTAGCAATATTGTACAGTAACCAACAGTGAATGACTTAGCTATTCTGATGAATACAATAATCTAAGACCATTCTGAAGGACTTGGAAGGGACCTTCAGAGTAGATTGAAGCGTAAATTTTTTTTCTTTTTTTTTTTTGCAACATGGCTGGTATGGAAATGTGTTTTGTATAATTTCACATGTGTAATTGATATCATATTTCTTGCCTTGTCAATGAGTGGGGAGGGGTATGATGGAAGGAGAAAATTTGGACTTCATAATTTTTTTTTAAAATCTGTGCTGAAGATAATAAATTTATTTAAAACACTTTCTCCACCATACATACAGGCAGAAAATTAGCAGTCTTGAGCTCCACTGTAACCTGAACCATAACTCTGTTCCCTCCATTCCCAAACTTGCATGAGATTTATTGTGAGAGTTTAGGAGCAAGATGGGAGCAAGCAGACTAGGTTAAGGATTGATTGGATGTCAGGCTAGGTGTAATGTTTCCTCTAGTATGATATATCAATAGTTGGATCAGGGTAATTGGGGAATTTGAAAGATGAGTACAGCCAATGCAGGATATTCCTACATTTTATATGAAAACCCCTTCATGACCCATGTGCTTCTATCCAGAAAGTTTATTTTCATTTGACCTTTATTATTTTTTCTTTGTTTTAAAGAAAAATCTATCAAATTTTTCCTCTTTCTGGTGAGTGGCTTCTTTTGAAGATGATTTTCCTCAGTTCCCCCTAGAAATCTTTACCTTTTACAAACTGCTTTTGATTTAAGATCTTTCCAAAAGTGATTTGTATTTCCAATTCACAGACCATTTGTTTTGACACTTAAAATATGTAAAAAACTTAAGGTTTTATAAAAAATTCAATGATTTCATTACAAAATTTTATTCTTTTAATTATTGGGAGGGATTTATCATAGATTATATAAATGGTTTCATTGACCCATCAACTCAGCATGAAAAAAACATTTCATGAGCCGAACTAAATTCAACTTGGTATACATTTACTGAACAGTTAATTCAATAGGACTAAGTCTCAGAAGCTTAACAGCAGAGGGAGATAAAAAAAAATGAATAGGAAAACTTAACTATAAGATGGTAATCAACTACCAAAGAATTATTTTATACACTAGAAAAAATAGCAAAATTCATCTGAAAGAACAACAGGTGAAGAATATCGAGGGAATCAGTGGGGGGGAAAAAAAGTAAAGGAAGGCAGCCTAGTAGCACCAGATCTCAAATTATACTACAAATCAGTAGTCATTAAAACAGCCGAGTACTGGATAAGAAATAGACATATCTACATTAGTAAAATAGCCACAGTAACCTGGTATTTGATAAACTCCAAGATCCAAGCTATTAGGTCAAGAACTCACCATTTGCCAAAAACTGCTGGGAAAATTGGAAAACAGTCCAGCAGAAACTAGGCATAGACTAATATCTCACACCACATGCCAAGATAAGCTCAAAATGGTTCATGATTTAGACATAAAAAGTGAGATAAGCAAATTACTTTCGGATCCATGGGTAAGGGAAGAGTTTATGACCAAACAAGAGATGGAGAGGATCATATGAAGTAAAATGGATAACTTGATTTACATTAAATTTAAAGGCTTTTTGCACAAACAAAAACAGTGCAGCCAAAATTAGAAGGCTAGCAGGAAACTGGGGGAGAAAATTATAGCAGATTTCTTTGATAATTGTTTGATTTTTCAGCTATATAGGGAACTAAGCCAAATCTATAAAAATAAGAGCCATTGTCCACTTGATAAAAGGTCAGGCAGACTTAGAACAGGTAACTTTCAAAAGAAGAAATCAAAGCTATTACTAGTTATTTGAAAAAATGCTCTAAATCACTACTGATTAGAGACATGCAAATTAAAACAACTCTTAGATGCTGTGAACCCCTCAGATTGGCTAACATAACAGAATAGGAAAATGACATGCTGGGGCAGATGTGGAAAAATAGGGACACTAAGGACACTGTTGGTGGAGTTAAGAACTGGTCCACCCATGCTAGAGAATGATTTGGAAGTACATCGAAAGGGCTATCAAGCTGTACGTATACTTTGACCCAGCAATACTGCTACTAGGTCTGCACTCCAAAGAGATGAAAAGAAAAGGACCCGCATGTACAAAAATATTTATAGCAGCTCTTTTTGTGTTGTCAAAGAATTGGAAATCAAAAGGATGCCCGTCAGTTAGGGAATGGCTGAACAAGTCGTGGCATGTGATTATGCTGGAATACTTTTGTGGTATAAGAAATGACAAGCAGGATGGTTTCAGAAAAAAACCGGGAAAGTTTATATGAACCCTCACAAAAGGAAATGAGTAGAAATTCTATGTAATAACAATCATATTGTAACAAGAATGAACTGTGAATGACTTCACTGCTCTGATCAATGCAATGTTCCACAATATAAAGGGTTCATAATATAGGATGCTATCCACTTCCAAAAAGAGAATTGATGAATGCTGAATGTAGATAGAAGCATATATTCTTCCACTTTATTTTTCTTGCTTTTTTTTTCTGTTGCTACGTGGCTAATATGGAAGTGTGTTTTATATGACTTCATTTGTATAATTGCTTTTGTATTTCTTGCCTTCTCAATGGGTGAGGGAGGGAAAGAATTCAGAAGTGAAAACTTAAAAAAAAATTTTAAGTTTGCATTTGCTCTTGAAATGAGAATTTATTACATTATGGAATTTAAGAGCTTAAATGAACCATGAGTATCACTTAATCTAAACCCTTATTTTATAGATGAGAAAACTAAGCCCCAGTGAGGGGAGGTGGTATGTCTAAGCCCGCATTGGGGATCTGGTCTTAAGTAGGAGAGAAGCAGTTTGATCCTAAGTACCCTTAGTCCAAATCCTGTGATCTTTTTAACTACACCTTGAGTTCTTTGGAACATGATATATCTGGAATCAAATGTCATTTACTTTAGATTTTAATCATGTTTGTCATTTATTTTAATGTTTTTTATTGTTGTTGTGAATAGTTTCCTAGTTCTGCTTTTACTGATCTACTCCTGCTTCTTCAAAGCAAACTCTTCAAAAACTCTCTAAATTTTCTTTTTCAGAAGTCAAATGTGAAACTCCAAAAGTTGACAATGCAGTCCAGCTAACAGGATTTGGATCCTTTCATACTTACAAGGACACAATTGTTTTCAAATGTGAAGATGGTTATTTCTTCTTACGAGGTAACGGCACAATTACCTGTGACGTTGATAGTAATTGGAGCCCTGTACTTCCAGTTTGTTTTGCAGGTACAAAAATCAGTCTTTCACTTCTTTCATTTTGCTACTTCTAACATGAGTAATAATACTTAGGGACTCTAAAACAGTCATTGTTTGTCACATTGTATTCATTTGCTGTGGTGTGCATATTTGCCAATATATCTGCCAATATATATGATTTAACTGTTAATATTTTTCAAACCTCACCTTAATTGTTGCTTATTATTTGAGGACACTTGTTCATTCTCCTAGTTTTAGTGTTCACTTTCATTCCCCCCAGAATAAGACTTTCTATTTCCATTTGTATATATATTTTGTGTTTATTTAGTGCATGGAAGCAGGTGTTTCATACACAATTTAGACTTTGACCCAGACTTTTTTGGCTTTCAGACAAGATCTCTATCAATCCCAGTGACTCTTTGCCCCTAACACTCATATCAACTCAATTTTCTGTACCCTACTGCCTACTCCCTTATTCATATTCACCTCCGTCATTCTGTCCACCAAATCAATGTTCCATTCAAGATCTACCCACTCTTTGCACTTTTGTTTTTGCAATGTTAGCAGCTCTATAGGGGCAAAACTTGCTGTCATCTTAAACTTTTTCCTTGCCCACTCCTTCCATCTTCTTTCATTTTTCTGAAACCTGGCTCCCTTCTAGTGACACAGCTAACTTGTCTACCCTTTCTAGCACTAGTTGTACTTTCACTCTAGCCCTCCTTGTCAGTGGTCATGGTTGGGGGATTTGAGATTCCCCTTGCTCCCTGTGGCCTCTTCTATGCCATCGATTTATTTACCACCATCACTTAGTAACCTCTCCTCCTTTGAAGTTCATTCACTCCACACCTACTACCTAATTAAGATGGGTAACTGTTTTCTGCCAACTTCTAGAACATTCTTTTTCTTTCCTCACTGAGTTCAGCGTCTGGCTCACATCTTTCCACTCCCCAGCTATTACCCTCATACTAGGGAATGTCAGCACACTTATTCATACTCCCTCAACCACCTTTACCTCCATTTTCTTCAGCTTACTCTTTTCCCATGATCTGATTCTCTACCCTACCTCAGCTGTACGTAGAGACAGTCATACCTTTGATCTTGTCTCCGCTTGTAAGTGTTCTATTTTCATGTCCATGAATGCCTTCTCTGATTCCCGTCAGCTGTCATCCTACCTCTCCTTCTTTTTCAGCCCCAAATCTTGTTCTTTGTTCACACCATGACCTCCAGTCCCTCCACCTCTCAGTTCTTTTCCAGGATATCACCCATATGTTGTCTTCCCTTGCCCTCTGTGCCCAGCTTGACCTATTGATGAACTAATGCCATGTTATACTATCCTCTTGAGGCCCTTGCCTTCTTTTTCCCTTTCTAGTCTTTCTGTGCCAAATCTCAGCCTTGGATTTCTCCTACCATCTGTTGTCTTTTGCTCCTACTCATGTGCTCCTAAATGAAGCTGGAGAAAATCATAAAACCATGCTAACTGGGTCCACTACAAATCTATATTATATTATCTCAACTGGGCCCTCAGTACTGCAAGGCATTCTTTTTATACCTCTCTAATCAATTCACCATCCCACTCACCACAGCAGCTTTTTCAGACCTTTCATCCCTCCTCAAACTTCAGTTATTTTCCCTTACCTCACTCTCTAAGCTGAGAACTTTGCCTCTTATGTCACTGAAAAAAATTGAGGCCATTTGCCAAGAGTTCCTCTTATCCCTTCTTCTTCATCTTGTATCACTCAAATGTCTTCTGCTGCTATCTCCTTCACTCCTGTGTCACATGAAGGTTTGGTTTTTTTCCTTGCCAAGACTAGCCCCTCTACCTGAAGAAGTGATCCTACTCCATCTCTTCTTGGGGCTTGACCCTTCTGTCATCCTAGCTCACTCATTAATCTTTAATCTTACCCTGTCTACTGGTTGTGTCCCTGATGCCATCAAACATTCTCACATCTCCCCTTTCCTCCAAAATCCCTTATTTGATTTGTTCATCCTTTCTAGCTATTATCCCATATCTCCTCCCTTTTGTGGTTAAACTACTTGAGAAGGCCATCAAGAATTGGTGTTGCCACTTCCTTTCCTCTTACTCTCTTCTTAACTCTTTGTAGTTTAACTTCTGACCTCATCACTCAACTGAAAATGCTTTCTCTGAAGTTTCCAGTGATTTCTTAATTGCCAAATCTAATAATCTTTTCTCAGTCCTCATCCTTCTTGACTTCTCTTTCAGCCTTTTACACTGTTGGTTGTCCTCTTCTCCTTGGTAGTTTCTTATCTCTAGGTTTTCATGACACCAGTCTCTCCTGGTTTTCTTCCTGTCCAGTGACTCCTCAGTGTCTTTTTCTGTCCCTTAATCCAGGTCATGCCCTCTAACTGTGGATGTTTCTCAAGGTTCTGTGCTGGGCCCCTCTTCTTTTCTTTCTCTACTAATTCATTTAGTTATCTCATCAGTTCTCATGAATTCAATTATTCCTTTTCATATGATTCCCAAATCCACTTATCCAGCTTTAACCTCTCCTGACCTTCAGTTTCTCATCTCCATCTGCCTCTTGCACATTTTGAAATAGGTATCTCACAGATGTTTTAAACCCCACATGCCCAAAACTACATTCATCTTTCCACCCCAGACCTCCTTTCTTCCTAACTTTCCTGTTACTGTCAAAGGCATCACTACCAAGTTCACCAGGCTTGCAATGTAGGTATCATTCTTGACTCCTCGCTTGGCAACATACTGGATGTGAGGCAATAAAAGCTAAGTTCTGTCTGTTATATCTTCACAACATCTCTTGAGTATGACACTGTCTTTCTTCTGACATTGCCACTACTCTAGTACCCTCATTAACTTATGCCTGAACTTGTAGTAGCCTCCTGGTTAGTCTCCCTGCCTCAGGTCTCTCTCTTTATTCAGTCCATCTTCCAGTCGGTTGTCTTCTTAAAGTGCAGGTGTAATGTGCTCTCTCTCCCCCCCCATGCCCACCCCAATTTATGTAACCCGGATCCAATATAAAATCCTCTGTTTAATGTTTAAGACCTTTCATAACCTGGGCCTCTTCTGTTTTCAGTTTTCTTAAATGCACTCCTCTTCTTGTATACTCTGAGATCCATTGATACTGACCCCCTTGCTGTTCCTTGCATAAGACACTTCCGTCTCCCAGCTGTAGACATTTTTCTGACTGTCCCCCATACCTGGCTTGTCTCCATCTCTTGGCCTTCCTGGCTTCCATAAAGGCTGAGCCAAAATTCTATCTACGGGACTTCCTTTATTCTCCTAAATGCTAGTTTCTTCTCTGTGTTGATTATCTCTAATTTGTTTTATGTATATGTGTATATATGTATGTATGTATGTATATTTTTTTTCCCGCCTTTCTTTGTATCCCCAGCTCTTAATGCACTGCCTGGCCCATAGCACACACTTAATAAGGAGTTGTTGACTGACTGACAATAAAGAAAAATTACAGGAATTTTTATTTAAGGAAATGAAAAGGCAGAACATAACTTTACTAATAAGAGAGGTAGCTCTTAAACTTTTTGACATGTGCCTTTCTCTTTGAATTTCTAGAACCTCCCAATAAAGAACCACCTTACCCAAGTCGTCCAGGTACAGTAATTCCTCATTTAGTATATATTGTTAAAAAAAATCTTACAATACTTTGAGTTATCTTTCATTTGCCATCTTCACTGAACTGAAAATTCAGTGGTGATACAAATGAAGTAAGATGTGCAGTGAAAAGGGAAGGCAAAAAGGCTAAGGTTCAGTTCCTCCCCTATGTCTATTTCTGGTGGTATTTAATGACCCTTGCTGACTAATCTTCAGTAAGGTAACGTGGCAGTGCCTTTTATGGAATTTGTCAGAGAGTTCTTCATTTTTCAGAGTTCAGTCCATTTGTTGTGTTCTGAACTGTTGAAGGTGCTCTGAGCTTGGAAACTGTTCTGATATGACCCATGCAGTATTCCTAGCACTCACCTGACACTCTCTCCTGATTTTACTCAGAACCTTCCCCTACCTTACTGTTGCTGGGACAATGAATAGGAATGACAGTCTACCTCTGTAGATGACAACCTAGAAATTTCATTAGTCATAGAATCATAGCTGGAAGAGGCCTTGGAGGCCATTTAGTTCAGTCCCCTCATTTTATAGATGAGGAAAATTAGGCCCAAGGAAGGAATGATCACACAGGTAATGCAGCTTAAATTCCCATTGAAGTACAAAGGTCCTCCAAAATCTTATCAAGTAAATATATAAGATTTTGAAATTCTTTTTTTTTTAAGGGATTAACCACTCAGTAAAATGCTTAGGTAGTGTTTATACTTCCCATAAATACTATCCCATTTCCAACATTCATTTATCCCTCTGCCCCAAGGTTTCAAGAGGAAATATCCATTATTTTTCACCTCTTCCAGATTTATTTCTTCCATGTTGGGGGGCTTTGATTTGTAGTTAGGGTAGAAAGCATATGGTAATTGATGATGAAGTGGGATAAATACCGTTTTCTAGAAGTAAATACAAAAGGATGTGCATTGTCAACAGTTCTGATCAAGCCTTCTAGACTCTGTCCCAGGGGAAATGTACTTCTGACTACAGCACTTGAGTGTTGTTTTGAGGATCAAATGTGATAACATTTCAATATTTTGTAGACCTTAAAATGCTTACATAAATGTTAGCTCCTGTCAACAATGATAAAAAATTTGCCTTGAATTTTTTTTTTATAGCTCTAGGAAAGGGCTATAAAATATCTGAGCTAGGAATTATTCTTATATACTGGTAAATACTTTAATTGCCATAATCTTTGGTATAGGATTCCCATATAGGATATGGGTGTGGTAATACCAAAGGCTGTGGATGTAGATTCTATGAATTTTTTGGGATATAATATAAAAGAATAGCTTACATTTTATAAGGATTAATTTTATTTATTGGCAGTCACTTTTACTCATTGGCAACTCATCTTATGCTTTCATGTCCATTATAAATAAATGTTTATTAATGTAGTTCACCCTAAGAAATAACCCACTGTGTATTTAATTTGATTTGTTTAGTTTTTCATAGGAGTTGAGCACCCATGTGCTTTATATATGTTTGTAAAGTTTCCATAGTAATAAGTAGAGTTTGCAAATTATTAAATAGAAAAGAATAGTAATTGCTTAATAATAATCCAAGGTCATTAGGCATAGAGACACTGGAGTTTTTGTTTCTGAAGTTTAGAAGTAAAAAACTTTAACATTATGCTGATGAAGCTAGAGCAGTGGTTTCTAAAAAAGGGTTTTTGTTGTTGTTGTTGTTTTTAATTAAATCTGCGTTACTTTGGGGGGGTTTTCCAGGGTCTACTGATACTTCGCAACAAGAACCACCTGTCTCAAGTCAACCAGGTTCAGTAATTCCTCATTTAGCATTTTTCATACAAATTGTAGTTGTTTATGATGCTTAGAACCCATCATCTTTTATGACAAAGCTGCCTTGCTCTCCCAGGGCTTTTCCCATTCTTCAGAATACATGTAGTTTGGTATATTCCTCATTCAACAAACACTTATTAAATACCTACTATGAGCAAACTTCTGTAGTAGGTTAGAGCAGTTCTGAGGTGACCAGGGAAGTTCCCCATTCCCTTGTCTTAAGTGAACCTCACAATAGACTGATCCTTTTTTTAGAAAAGTAAATCTTGGTATCTGTTGTCTTTATATCACTCACCCACATTTTCCAATGCATCCCTTCCAGAGAAGAGTCTTCCATAAAAATAAATTAAAAAGGGGGAAAAAAACAGTCCAGCAACACTAACCAGCACATTGATTTTTCTACAACTTTAGTCCCCACCACTGCATAGCAGAAGAAGAAGGTGCTTTCTCATGTCTCTACATTGGGACCTACTCAGTCATTGTAATATCTCAGCATTTACATAGTCATAGATTTTGGGAGTTGGAAGGGACCTCAGAAGTCTTCTCATCCATCCCATATACCAAAGGAAAGCCCACTATAACATTGTTTGTTCATCTTCTGCTTGAAGACCTCCAAGAAGGAGAACCATTCACCTCTTTAGTCAGGCCATTCCCCTTTTGGACAGCTCTAATCGTTAGGAAGTTTGTATGACAGCAAGCCTAACTTGTCCTCTTTACAAATTAGAGCTCTTTGCTTATTGTGCTGTCTAGTGGGACCAAAATATAACAAGTTTAATCTGTCTTACAAAGACAGCCCTTCAAGGTATCAGTGAAAGATAACACATCATCCTTGAGTCTTCTCTTTCTGGCTAACTGTCACCAGGTTCTTCAACTAATTTTCATATGGCCTGAACCCAAGGCCCTTCACCATTCTGGTTGCCCTCCTGGAAGCTCTGACTTGTCAATGTCCTTCATAAAATGTGGTGCCCAGAATTGAGCCCAGTATTCTAGATAGTGTAATGAAAGTCAGAGTACAGTGGAACTATCAAATCCTAAAAGCCCTATTTTTCTTGGTGCAGCTTTTTTTGTCTGTTTCAATATGTTATTGATTCATTAAGCTTGTACTGTAATGAAAGCGTCAGATGTTTTTCAGAATAACTGTTGTCTATCTATGTCCTACCAATCTCATACTTATGAAGTGGATTTTTTTTTGTATCTAAGAACAGAATTTTGCATTTATCCTATTTGAATTTCACCCTATTAGATTTAGCCATGTTATAGCTTATCAGCATTCTTTTGTTTCTTGTCATTTTTTTTGTATGAGGATCTCTCTCAGATTTCTGTCATCTACAGCTTTGAGTATACCATCTCTGCCTTCATCCAAGGCATTGATTAAAGTGTTAAAAAGCACAGATGTCTGGAGTATGCCACTGGAGACCTCCCGCCATATTGACATTGAAACAATAACAAGTCCTGTCTGGGTCCACACAGTTATGAATCCATCTGACTGTATTATTTAACCCATGTCTTTCCCATCTTCTCCACAAAAATAGTATGAGATCTTTTCAAGTTTTGTTAAAATATGGTGAACTATATTTGCAGCATTCCCCTCAAGTGTATTAGCTTAGTGATCTTATCAAAAAGGGAAATGACATTAGTTTGATTATGACCTGTTCTTGATGAAGCTGTGCCTGGCTCCTTGTAATCATTAACTTCCCTTTTTAACTGTCTGCCACCTTGATGTCTCATAATGATCTGTTGTAGTATTTTCCCAGCAATCAGTGTCAAGCTATAGTTCCCAGACTCTTATCTTCCTTCTTGCGAAAAATCAGGACAACATTTATCCTTCTTCAATATTGTGGTTTGTCTTCTCATGGTCTTTCAATTTTCACTGACAGTGACCTAACAATCACATATCTGCCGGTTCTTTCTGGACTCAAGGGTCAAGTAACTTGAATTCAGTAAGGTCATCTAGGTACTCTTTCTAGCTCTTTCACTTGAGTATTAACTCCCTGGTAGTAATTGTTGTTTTCTCATTTCCAATGTGAAGGCCATCTTCTTTTGCAAAGAAAATAGAAAACCAAATAAGGGTTGAGCACGCTGCCTTCTTTTTGTTGTCAGTTTTCATTATACCCATCTACGTCAGGAAAATAGGAAAGAACTAGAAACTAAAAGTGTTCAGTTGAGGGATGGCTGGACTTTGAATGGAATAAATGATTATTATTTATCATTAATAAATGATAAAAGAGACATTTTCAGAGAAAACTGAGAAGACTCATGTGAGCTGATACAGAGCCAAGTGAGCAGAATCTGGACGTTTTATACACATTGTAAAGAAAAACATTTTGAAAGACCTAAGAACTCTGATCAATATGACAACCAGCTATGACTCCAGAATAAGTCTGCTTACTCCCTTCCTAACAACAGAGATGATAGACTCAAGTTATACATGAAGACATACATTAAAACACTGTTTTGCTTTACTATAAGTTGGGCCCCCCCCCCACCTTGGAGGGAATTTAGATGGGAGAGGTGTATGAGTGATTATGTTGCCAAAAAAGAAGAAAGAAAAAAGAGTAACTGAGCCATTGTTTTAAATGCACAGAGAATTGATCAGTATTTATCCAATTATTTAAATTCTTTAAAAATATTCCTTAAAGGAATAATTGTATCTATGCAGTTACTAAGTATTCTTTGGAATATTGGCTCCTATGTATTTTATGTATTTTGTAATTCTTTTAAATGAGACTTTTTCCTTTTACATTTCCCTTCTGGATCTTATCACTATGTGGAAATGCTATTAATTTCTGTGAGTTTATTTGTAACTTTATACTTTACTGAAGTAATCAGTTGTTAGAGTTTATTTATTGCTTCTTAAGTAAATCATGTCATCAGAAACTAGGGATAGTTTAGTTAACTCTTTGCCTTTTAATATCTTGTTGGTATTTCTGGAACCGTGTCAAATTATAGAGACTTTATTCCTATATTTATTGGGAAAGCTACTAGCATTTTCCACTGCATATAATGTCAGAATTGACTTATAAAATTTCAGTGATAAAACAAAACTTTAACAGCTGATGAAAAGTTTGCAAGAGTTTTCATTTTAGCAGATGAAAGGTAAAACAATATTGTTAGGAATCACTTTACTCATCTCAATTGTTGACTGAATCTGCTTTCCTTTTTGTCTTTTCCAGGGCCTTCGCTTCCTCCCAATAAAGAGCCACAAGGTCAAAGTTCAATAACTCCTCATGTAATAATAATCATGCAGACAGAAAAGTTATTTGCTATGGCCCAAATTACTCTGTAATGAAGAGGAAAATGTTAAAGGCTAGAATATTTTTTCAGTCTTCTCCTGTTCTCACTTCTGTGTAGTGGTTCTTGCTGGTTATTGCTTGGTAAAGTGCTGCTTCTGATGCAGTACTTCTTAACCTTTTTTGTGTCAGGGTGATTTGTGGCTTCAAACAGTGTCTGGCACGTAATAGATGTTCAATAAATACTATTGACTGTGGTAGGCAAGTGAAGTCTATGAATCTGTTCTTAGATAAATACTTTTAGTTTAAATAAAATATATAGAGTTACAAAGAAAGCTAGTTATTAAAATACAGTTGACAAAATTTTAAAAAAAAAGTTTATAGACCCCAGGTTAAAAAACTTTAATGAGTGAGATTGCACCATCAGCCTAGAACTTTTCTTTGACCGGAATGAAACTGATTTGTTGCTTCCTGGACCTTTAGGTACTCTTAACCTTAAACAATTTTTCTATCATCTAAGCAGATCCTCTAATACTTACCTCGTCTTTTAACTTAATGTGCACGTCCTACATAGAGTTCTCTTCATGATATTTTGGAAATAGTAGGCAAGCAGAAGTAATATGAAAGTTCACAAGCTAAGTTAATGTGATTTTTGACTAATGGTTCCTGGTTTTTCAGGGACTTATTTTTCCTTCTGTCACATTCTTTGGCTTCATTCATTCCAGATCTAGGTTGAAGCCCTAATAATTCTTCATGTAAATTCTTCACACAAAAATTCTTCATACCTCATTTTTGTTAGTGAAGGAGAAAGATGTCACATTTAAAATTGATTCTGGTCTTTCTTCTTGGGGAGCAGTAAAATTTGAGCCTTGGTACATGGTACATGGTGGCCTGAGTCACATACTACTCATTTGTACTTTTTGTACAAATGTGTAAGTTGAATTGTATATAAATATTTCTTCTTGAATTTTCACAGGTAATTGTTTAGATTCCCAGATGTAATCTCGGTGCATGTGTTCTGACATTTTGTGAGCTTTTTTAGAATTGCTCATCTGTAGGATAAGGACCTTGTCTGGTTTTAGATGTTCGGCTAACACTCTTTTAAGTGAACTCCAATAAACATGTTCATGGACACGTCCTCTGAGGTTCCTAAACGTAATTGTAGTTGGGACACATTTTTCATTAATATGAAAACCAAGCCTAAACCAGATACTACAGGAAATCATAGAAATGGATACTGCAATAGCATAGTGAAGCATTAACTTATTTTTCTTCTGCTTCAATCATTGTAATTAACATTTACTAAGCACCTACTCTTAGTAATGCACACAAAAATATAAAACTAGGTTGCTGCTCTCAGTTTTCTATATCACAGTTTCAAAGCTAATTAAAAGTTCAGTGAGTTCAATGAACTTGGGGCTTTACGAACAGTTCTAAAAGCCACTTATAAATTGTTTAACCATTTTTAGTGTTCTACCTTATACACTATAGAGATGAAAAAACGCACAGTATTTCATGCTGAATTACTTTAATGTTTCTTAGGTTTTGGCATCATTATCGTGATAGTTCTTACCATAGGTAAGTAGCACAAAATCTTAAGAATCTTGTTTTAAAGTGAAGCCTATGTGGTTTAATGGGAAGAAAGCAGAATTATTTGTTTTATTTTGTTACTGTTCACAGTTATCATTTGGTCTTGTAGATTAATGGTCTCCAAACATTTTTGATTACTTTTGTGTATCAGTGAAAATGTATTGAGTTTGCATTCCTCAATATATACGTTTATTTATAGATTAAGTGCTGTATTAATATATTATACACATTATAAGCCACACACAAAGTGGAAATTAAGGATGAGATTAAAAAATGGAATAATATTTTAAACATTTTATTTTAAAAGTCATTAATGCAAAAAAACCCTTTGCTCATTCTAAAATTATTAGCATCTTTAGTGAGAACATTGTTAGTAATGATTTAAAGGTATGGCTCTGAGCTCAGTTTAATACTTGATTTTAATGGATTTCATAGCTGAAAACTATATACTACACAAAAGTATGTCAAGTTGTCAAATCAACAGTCATTTATTAAGTACTTCTTATGTGCCAAGCCCTCTGGCTAAGCACTTGGAATACAAATACAAGCAAAAAGAAAGGTGGTCTTGCCCTTGAAGAGGTTACATTCTAATAGGGGAAGATTGTGCAGAAAAGGAAGCTGATAACAGGAGGAGGGGGCTTGGTGGAGAAAGAAGTTAGGAGTGGAATGAAGGTGTGACCCTGACAGGTGTGGGCACTTTGCTTAAAATGGAAGTTCTTGGAGAAACTGACCAATTAAAGGCAGGTGCCCCAGTGGTCTGCTAGGATGAGAAGGCTGCTGAGGGCTGAATGTTTTTGCTGTATGAGAAGACTGGAGAAAGAAGTCTAGAGCCTCAGATATGTAGATACAGGTGGAAGAAGTGCATGTTGACTAGTTTACCACATCAAGCTATTCTTTGGTCTTATCCACCAGTTATCCAGTTTGTTGACATTGCTTTGGTAACTTTACATCTTCCTTGAGGTCAGTTATTCTTGCAAACTAATTGAAAGGTTTTGCATTCTATTCTGCTTCTGGAAGATTTTTAAACAGGATAGAAAATTCTCTTTCCAGGTTAAGTCCATAAATGAATTCTTGTGACGCATATTGTTTTAAGGAAATAGAAGCTTAGGTTTATGCTTTTTCAAGTTGTGATGGCTTAAAATACTGTTTAAAAAGAATTTTTTAAAAATTGTGATGGTTTCATAACTATCACTAGCTAATATCTTGAAGTTCAGCATACACTTGGTTTAGGAAAACTAATATTTCCAATAATTTTAATTTGAGTTTTTCGACTGGCTGTCCCGTTTTATTAGATTGTTTTTTAGCTTGCCTGTGTGGCTGTTGAAGTTTGTTGCAAGAGTAGAAGTGTAACCTCTGCTATTGTTGTTTGCCTGTGCTCACATTATTATCTTCAATTTATAGCAAAGGTTCCCAAAGTTATTTGGCCTTCTGCCCCCTTTTAAAAAAAAATTACTCCAAGCACCCCCCCTGAAATCGGCTTTTTTTAACTTGTTAGCGGTTCTATTAAATTTGAGTTACCCAAGGCTACTATGCTTGAATCATTCCAGCAGAGAGAGAGAGAGAGAGAGAGAGAGAGCTAGAGAGAGACACACACATAGAGTAGTATGCTTGGTTGAAACTATGATCCACAGTTTCTTTGCAGAAATCGTTTTAAAAATTCTTGCCCATTTTGTGAAGATTGTTTGGTTAAAGCTAGATAATATATTCTATAAATCCACTTCATTGGGCATTATCTCAACTATATGCATCACAGTAAGTGAATGAATGAACAGGTGAAAACACCACACCACTGAGTGGTGGAATTTTTGTTCTTCAGGACACCTTGTGTTCTTGATGCATAATTATGACATACAGATCTACATGGTACCAGTGTCAATCCATAAAGTTCTTTATTTTTAGATAAAAATGCATTTTTTTCCTGTACCTGACAAGGATCATATTGCATGCATTCCACTTTGGAAACCATCAACCTAGAGTGAAATAAACAAATCTTTGACACGGAATCACACGATTTTACTTTGTCATAGTGATTTAGAATGGCTCTTTGTACTTACAACCATTTAGTCTTTTACAAAGTAATTTCCCCCCTAATGTTGAACTGAGTGAGTTTCCCTTCAGTATTCTCTGGTAGCCTTATAAATTCTCCTAGGAATCTCTTCTTACTGATTTTTAGAATGCCTGAGAGGCAAAAAGTATGTTGTACACTGAAACTGGATGGATAATGTATTACCTAGTAACTAGTATGAATTTGTGTAGTATATGTGCCTATCTATGTGTTCACAGTGGCCAGCTCTCTGTCATTAAATTAAGGAGCTTACTGTTTTTCAACATTTCATGATATTTGGATTTTTTTTAATAGTTATCGTGTTTTCAATGATCAGCTTTATCGCTTATCGTCGGTACAAGGAGAAATAAGGGTGAGTCAAAGTGTCTTTTAAAATGGATCATTTTTTTACAATTCCATCCAGAATATTTTCTTTTGCATTGACTTGTACAATCAGTATTTTTTCCTTTTTTCCAGTATATTAATGTTAATGCCAGACTTGGCAAATTTGCTTTGTATTTAAGAGCCAGGTCAAATTTGTTTTGTTGGGGAAAGGGCACAGGCAAAATTTTTGGCTTTCAAAGAAAGAAAAAGGCAGTTCACTCCATAAGATGATGGCTTCCAAACTCAAATCAAAGTGCCAATCTAGGATCTACAGGAGGGGCTGAAAGAGCCCCTCTCAAAGTGCACAGCTTAGTTCGTTGATCACAGCCACAAATGGAACCAGTAGGAGATCAATGGTCAGACCACCCCATGCTGGTGACCTCAGGCTGCACCAGAATCGTTGATGCTTCACAAGTCTTTTTATTGGGAGGAAGGAGTCCATGAAGCTACAGATCCATATTACATTTTGCTTTCTTTTAAGTATGTGATGAATCCAACATGTTACTTTCAGAGCTGCTCTTGTTTTCTATTATTGATGCTCCTGTTTCTTATGTGAATTTTAAAAAATACTTGCTGACCTCTTCCCCCCCATTTTGGTAACCTAAATACTCCACACTGAATTTAAAGAAAGAAAACAAATCCACACATTGGCCATGTCTGAGGACGTATGTCTCATTCTGCACTTTGACTTCACCATTAAACATTTAATTACTAGTCCTCTGGAATCATGGCTGGTCATATTAGTCTGAGTTGTTAAAGTATTAGTTGTATTTTTTGTTATTATTTACATTGTTCTCTGTGTTCTGTTCACTTCATTCTGAAGTCTAAAATATCTTCCTGAATCAAACTCCTTTATCTTTTCTTACAGGGCAGTACTCTTTATTCCACTACATTCATATACCATAGTTTGTTTTAACTTATCCACAACCCAGTGGGACCCACTTAGTTCCCAGTTGTTTGTCACTACAAAAAGAGCGGTTATAAACATTTTTGTAAATGTGAGTTCTTTCCCTCTTTCTTGATCTCTTTGGAGGTGTAGGCCTAGTATTTATATTTCTATTCTAGGTCAAAGGGTTCACAGTTTAATGATCTTTTTGAATGCAGTTACAAATGGCTAGATTAATTCATAGTTTTGTAGCTAAGAAATCTAAGGAACTCTTAAGGCAGGTTCATATACTTTTTTTTCTTTTTTCTTTATTTTTTTAATATTCTCTTTTATTTTATTTATTTTTAGTTTTCAACATTTGCTTACACAAGATGTTGAGTTTCAAATTTTTGCCCCATCTCTCCCCTGCTCCCACCCCTTCCCCTAATCTGCCCTCCCTTCTGTCACCCCCCTTTCTCTTATCCTCTTCCCCTTCTATTTTCCTGTAGGGCAGAATAGATTTCTATATCCCATTGCCTGTATATCGTATTTCTCAATTCTGTGTAAAAACAATTTTTAACATTGTTTTTAAAACTTTGGGTTCCAAATTCTCTTCTTTCCTCCCTCCTGAGCCACCCTCACTGAGAAGGCGAGCAATTCGATCCAGGTTGTTTATGTGTAGTCATGCAAAACACTTCCATAATAGTCATGTTGAGGTTCACGTCTCTTGTCCCTAACAAATGGTACCATCTGGTGTCATAAATATTGCCTTTTTTTTCAGGTTATCATTATAGTAAACTGTGAATATGCAAAGGCAGAAAGAACAATGTACAATTTTGAAGTTTTGGGTAAAAGTGAATTTAAGAAAGAGGTACAACAATGAAATAAATAGCTCAGTGTCATAATAGCCTGGTACCCATTATTTGTGGTATGCTGTTGAAGGAAAATATTTTTATCCATTTGCCTTCTTTTGTAATCACTGCACAAGAATTAATTAGTGAAGTTGTTTTAGATTTTCAAAACAAAAGACAATTCTTTGTAACTAGATACTAAAATTCTGCAGAGAGTCATGGACTTCTTCAAAGCAAAGCCTATTTCATATTTCAAAATGGACCTAGCAACCAAGAATAAGAATGATAATGCCAATAATATTAGTGATAATACCAAATATTTACATGGCACTTTTATGTGTGTAAGCCACTTTTTACATATATTTCATTATTTAAATCTCATAACAACCCTGTGAGATATAGATATGAGGAGTTTTCTTTTGGAAAATTTGACAGTGGTATCATTGGTATGTTGGTGACAGATTCCATGTTTGCCCCTTGTACAACTTGGAGGACTAATTCCTATGTAGCTGTAGAAGCAATATGGTAATCCCATCTGAGAAATTTATTTTAGAATTGTCCTTCATAAGGACTCTACAGATTTTTCCATTGCTGTTTGTTTTCTTAAATTCCCCTTAATTTGGAGGAGTTGCAAATTAATTAGTTGCACTTAAAAATGCTGTGGTTAAACTTAATTGTAGTGGTTGACAGAAGCAAGATCTATAAGACCTAGCAAATTAATAGCATATTTGTTAGCCTTTTACAAATGCAGAAAGCTTGAAAAAGCAAATGTGTAATTTACTGAATAAGAAAGTAAGAAGATGTAAATGAAATATATTTATTGCTAGCAGATTTTGAAAGTAATTATTAGGGTGAAACAAAGATAGCTGTGCTTTAGAATTATTTCTGAGGAATACTGTGTCTTCTGACTGATTCTGCCTATAGAAATACATTACCACTTTAATAACTTTGACATCATCTTTAACTCAAACCTAGTGAGTTCAAATGTTATCAGATTTCTTTATTTATTATTGAGCATAGATGAAATGCTACGCTTATACAAAAGGCATTATTCTATAGGGCTTAGTATTTTTAGTTTTATTTCAGTTTACCTTTTGAGACTTTATAAAAGCTTTCTCTTTCTTTTGCCACTATAGATAAAATCTGCTTTTTCCTCAAAAATCTTATTCTTCATTGAAAGATTGTTCATTACAGCTGGACAAAAGAGTATGTTTGTCCATGATGAGTGTTAATAGATTAAAGAAAATTTTCAATAGGTTGTCTTTTTTATTATACATTTCTGTGTTACTAGCTGGTTTCTCTTAAACCAACCTATGATTTTGTTAGAAAAATGAACCCATTAATAATTACATAATTTTTGCTATACTTCTCATCATTTTTTACTTTCTATATTTTAAATTTCATCCTGCCTATCCTTAAACAAGTGTTTATGGAAAAGCTGTTTTTTACTATCATGGTAGCCAAACTAAGATTTGTAGGAGACAAAAATGAGTGAAGTTGAGTTGGGAAAGATAATTGAACAGTGCACGTTTTTGGGGTTTTTTTTTCCCAGCCAAAGACAAGGTTTATTAAAGATTCACCATATTGGCCAGATTTTAAGAATCTGAGCCTGACTTTATTTTCTGCTTGCCTCTAGTTCTTAAATAGGCAAAGCACTATAATGTATGCCATATTATTACAGCCTATTCTGACTTGTGCATATAAACATGTAAAAGGAAACAGTATCACAAGAGTGCAAAAATGATTTATGATTGGTTTGGTGGTGCATTCTTGACTTAAATTCAAGTCTGACTGCTGTTTCTAGAATTCATACTTTGGGAACTTGAGAAGTGATGAAGTATTTGCTCTTACTAGATATTACTTAAAGGAAAGCAAAATTTTTTTTATACTTAATCTGCCATGATAATCAGGAGTAGGAATACTTGAAGCTGAATTGAATGTATTGGAAAAACTTCTTGCCATAAAATTGAACAGTATGAATGCACGTCTCCTCTATAGGCATACTCAGGAACCTGCCAAAAACTTGGAATATTAGATCCCAGTACCATTTCTTTTGATATGATGTTTTAGTAGATGAAACAATTTTAGATCATATAACTGTGTACTCTACAATGCTCATGCACAGGTCATCACTGAGGAGGCAGAAGTTGGGAATTTCTCCATTTGATTTGATTGTCTTTAATCTTGTTCAAATTGAGAACACACATTAATTTGAATTAATATTATATTTTTAGTAAAAGTACAAAGCCAAGACAAACCTAAATTAACTTTTTAGCATTACTTCATCTTTCTCATAGAATTGATTTTGCTTGTTTTTCCTGTCCTTCTTCCTTTTCTTTGGTAGGATTGATCATTCACATTTTATTCAGTCAGACCTTTTTCCCTTCCTCTGTTCAGCAAATACATAACTGATGGAATCCACAAAGAAGAAACACATTTAAATTCTCTTACTTCTCCTAAAGAAGACGCCTTAATGAAAGAAAGGTTTACTTAAATCATTAAAAGGTATCTGTAACTCATATTGTATCTTTAAGTCATACTCAACTGGAAAAGGGTTCAGAGATTTTCATTGGGAACTAACCAAAGCTGTGGGATATTTGCAGGGGACAGAAAGAAAAACTTGTGCCATGTTTTCTTTGCTAAAGTACTGAATCTTCTGGCATTGAACTGTACTTCATTATAAAACATGCTTTCTAAAAATGTTTTCTGAAGGAGTTTCAAAACACTACAGAGTTTTGCTTTGGAGGAAAGGGCCAAAAAAAATTAAGCATCACACTTACGTGGAGATTGGTCCCTCAGCCTTCCTACACAGGTACAGATCTAGAACTGAAAAGTCCTGTGTCAGTTATCTGCTTCCAAGCCTATTAATATTGGTAGTAGTGTCCCTTCCTAGGCAATTCATCAGTTGACAACATTTAATAAGCACCTACTATGTGCCAGGCATTGTGCTAGATGCTAGGGAGATATAGATAAAAAAGAGTTTCTGCCCTCAGGAAGCTTATGTTTACTGCTTATTTTACACAAAGCATAGTTATCTTAATTTCTCTGGAAACCTCCAGTTAACACAAGTTGAAGGAACAGAAGGATAAAACAGAAGTGATTGTATTGAATAGGGTGGGGATTAGGGAGAAGTCAAGAGCCTCCCCCATCTGAGGGCTTCACTGAAGCAGGAGACACTAGAATAGCACCACAGCCTGGGGGCATCAGTAAAACATTTTTAATTTCAATCTTTATGAAACAGGTTACATCTTCTCCTGCCTTAGAAATATAATTATTTACCAGGAAGTTTGAGCCTGAGCTTAAATTAAGTTTACCTCCAAAGAAGGAATTATAACATTTGGTGGGTGCTCCTGTGCTGTTGTTAGTTGTCAGGAATATTGTACCTTCCAAGAAAAAAACCTCTTGGTAAATAATTGGTTTCTATCCAACTTCTTATGAAAGGGAAATCTGTAATATATGCCAGAAAGACTGCCATTAAAATGGTTTGTCCTTCATAGCAATTATTATTTAAAATGTTAGGCCTCAATTAGCTGCAGAATTCACTTATCCCAATGTTTTTTTCTCCCATCAGTGCTAGATAAACCGACATTCCTCTAATTGTTAAAGGACTCCTGTCTTCCAAATGAATCATCTTTTTGAAAGCTTCAGTTGAGTCACAGATTTCTGAATGTTATCATTTTATTCAGCTGTCCCTCTGAGTTGTTTTCCTATTGCAACTAAATGAAAATTAACTCAGTTTCAACACATGGGAATTGGTTACCAATTTTGTGTAAAGTAATATATACTACTGCTTAGGGTGAGAAGAGAGTTGCTCAGAGCCACAATTATTTTTTAACAGATTTGCTTCTTAGGTGGTTGGGGGTTAGGAATCTCTAAAAAGAATTAGGAATCATTTAGAAAGAGTTTCTTTTCTATATAATACCCCTTTTAAAAATTATTTTAAAGTTTAACTTATTACTGTGATATAATCTTGTTTGACTGTGATCCTCTTTTTCTTGTTTTGCCTTATAGGAAAAATGCAACGATTCCTGTTAGTGCTGATTACAAACCTAGCCCGGAACAAGGGAACCATTCTGAGGAAAGCAAGTGTATGGTTTCAGTAAATTAATGTAACCACCAATCTGGCCTTTTTTTTAGTTTTAATGTTAAGCACTTTTCTAGTTACTTTCAATGTAGCTCCTTTGCCAGCTGAAAACAAAGCTGTTAAGTTGGAATTTTGGTGTTTTAAGATAAGGCTTATTAATTAGCATCCTTACATATACCCTTACACCTGTATGGTGCTTACAATGGAAATGAAGATAAAACACACATTGTGGATCTGCCCAGGTCATCACTGCATTTAGTGTAGGGTGTCAGAAGGAAGATGGCAAAATACTGTTTTAAGAAAAAAAGTTTTGCAAATGTACTTATAGGAATAAGAAATGTGTAATATTTTCACTGGGTAATTTAAGAAATTAAGTGACTGAAAACAAGGGAGGTTGGTTACGATCAACTTCATGGATCACTAAAGATAAATTTTGTAAGAAATATTCTTGTCAAACAGTGGTACTTTATTCTATTTATGACCATTTCTTTTGGTAACCAGTATACTAATTCAGACAAAGTTAAGAAACCCGCCTGTGCATATGGCTGTGAAGTTTACATTTATTTTCACCAGTGAATGGGAAATGCTTTTAATTTAAGCAAAATCCAAAAAAAGAAAAGCTATTCATTTCTGTGAAAGTAAATAAGGGACATTAGTCTCCAGCCAAGAATTCCAGCACAATTTACACAATGAATAATACCTGAAGCCTTACCATCTTTTTCACAGAGAATTCTAGAGTGGGGGGGGAGATGTACTAAGGTTTAGATCTGGCTTATTTCAAATAGGGCTGGTGTTTTGTGGTCTGAGTGTACCCATGTTTAATGCCTGTTAAAGCCTGAGAGGCAGCATAGAAGGGAGTACAGCATGACACACACTTAGCTGTGTGATCTTGGGCAGAACACCTAACTAACCTGGTCTTGCTTTAGGCCATTGTTGTCACACTTATATAGAAACTTAGGAAACCACAAATTGATACCCATGTTGTATTATCATTTTCTTCCTAATTTTAGTCTGGTTTAGACAACACAAAGCAGCTTTTTAGGCAGCCCTCAGGCTGAGTGCAACATTTCTGCTCTAGGCTGTTCTCTAAAATGCAGTCTATAAGCAAAGTGTTGCCAGAATGTATCAGTAAGGGGAAAATTTCCACACCAGGAGTTCCCAGCACCTCAGACTCCCCTGCTCCTCTGCCATGTAGCCTGTTTTTTAATATCAGGGAATATGCTCAAATAGTGACTTAAAGCCTTAGAATACACTCTCTAGGGGCATACCCTCATCTCTGATGCCATTTTGCCCCTCAGTGCTTTTTTTTAAAAAGAGAAAGTCTTCTTTTAAGACTTCAGCTGGGCCAAGAGAATGAAAAATATAGTTTGTACATTTTCTAAAAGTATCTGGAGAAGGGAGGCTGTGATCCTCAGAAAATTATACAGATCCTTTATCACCTGCCTTACTCTTCCTAACTAGAAAGCCCAGCCTGCAGATTACCCTCCCTAATTGAGGGTGAATATTTGGGTATCAATGTTTGATCACGAAAAAATGGAGATTTTGTGTTATATATTTTCATGTATGTATGTAATGATAATCATTTAAGATCAATTGAGCCCCAGTAAGGGCCAAAAACCTGAATTAATCTTTTTCTCTCTGACTGAACTAAAAACACCCCTTCCTGTGTCAGCAAATTCCAGGACCAGACGGAACTGACCAGTGTTCTTCCTGTTCATTATCCCTAAGCCCAGGATATCTGGGACCAGACACTCTCTTGAATAATGGGACTCTTCTTATCTTGGTCTATAATTTCAATTGACACTTTTACATTCTCCTCTTTTATTGTATTTACAACCTATTCAATTAAGAAAATTCATTTTCCATGCTATATTGTTTAAAAAAACATATGGAGTCTGATCACTGTAAACTGTATAAAACCTCTCTCATTTTGCTTAATCTCTGAGTCAGAATCACATTCTGGCTTCCATGTACATGACTCGCTAGCTGAAAAGGGAATAAACTATATAATCACGTATCACCTAACTTGTTTGCCTTCTTTAACCAAACTTTCAGGTCAACAGTAATGGTGCCATTGTAATGCAGAACATTATTTTACCATTTAGGTAGTAGAGCCCTTTAGGCAATGGAAAGCAGAAGTTGCTGTTTAATCTTGCCCCAGACCTCTTTCCTCCTAAATCTAAACAATAGTGAAATGTACTCCTGCATAGCTTAAGCACAGCCCATACCTCCAAAGCAAATGGATAAGAAAACTTGCAATACAGTGGCTTTAGATAATTATGTTTATACCAGAAACCAGGACACCTGGTCTGGTTTGTGTGATCCCTGACCTGTAATGATGGGGTGCTCGGGTGCTTGCCCTTATACTTTTGCCCCAAAATGCCTCCCTAGTCTCAGAAACACTATCTCTAACAACCACTCCCCAGCCCAAGGACGCTGTGCCTAGCAGTATTCATGCATGGGCCTCAGCAAGACCCTTATCTGGCTGCTCAGGCCACAGCCCTCAGATCATATCTCTGGAAGCCTCCATTGTAAGAAAGTTTGCAGAGCATTATCATATCTACACAGAGGGAGAAAGGGTGTCCTTGACCAGACAGACTTCAATGATCCATCCCCCTCCCTGTCCTGTATACTCCCTATATAAACCCTAGCTTGACCCCTGACGGGGGCTGCTTGATTTGGATGTGAATATCCCTGGCAGCCGCGGGCTAATATAATAAAGTCCACAATTTAAAATTAGCCTGGGTGGTCAACTCGCTAATTTCTCGGTATAACACCATGACTCGGATTGGAACCGAAGGAATAGGAGAAACTCCAGCCCACCCCAGCAATGCTTCAGTGGCTCAAGTGCCTCAGGATCCATTTTTTCCTGGAGTCCTAACCTTGACGGGGTCGGGTAAGTTTCTCCTATTCCCAGCTTCCATGGACCTCCTGAAGAGGTCTAGGGGTTTTGGGGTGCTGGGACCCCAAGATCGCAGTACCGGGCCCTGTCTGAAAGAATTCAACTCAAATCTTCTTCAGCCAGAGGAAAAGTTTATTAGTGGTAAAACATATAGGCTAGGTGACACCTGTAAGGATGAGCGGGCATGAGAGGTTCTCAGCCTTTTGAGCATGAGATTTTCAGCATCTGAATGAGGGCCAAGGTGGATCTTAAATACTAAAGTAACTTTGGGTGGCCAGAGAAGGGGGTTGGGTAAAGGGTGTAGGTAACAATTCTAATTGGGGAGGTCCAGCGAGATTGAATAGACAATGGGAATAGATAATGGAGGAACAGGAAGGCAGAAGTTTGAAAGGCATCTGCACAAAATCAAGGTGGGGCTAGGACTTTCAAAAGGAGATAAAGGAAGGCCTTTCTGGGGCCTATAGACAAGAGGGAGCCTAAGGCTTTTAGGGAGCATCTGAATAAGATTAAAAGGTAAAGCTAAGGCTTTCAAAGGGAGATGAGGGTCTGGGGCCTGTGAGTCAGATTCCCTTTGAGGCAAACGGTGAAGATCTTGGCTTGGGCCCCACCCTCATCACTCCCACTAGTTTGGTTGAAGTCTGAAAGAAAATTCCCTTTAAGTTAGCTCTGGGGTCGGGGATTCGGTCGAGGTTCAGAAACTCCAGCTACTGTATCAGGTCCACTCTGGTAAAGATCGATCTAAGGAAATTGGCTATGGGTCACTCAGAAACTAAAACTAAAAATCTGGCTAACAAGACCGCTGTCCCATTGCCAATCTGGTAATCACAAGTACTGCTAGCACTGATATCAATTAACTAAAGATAACCAAAAATTATGTTGGTCACAATATGGGGTTCTTTTGACCGGTCAAAGTTACTTTATCTAAAAACCAAATTAAGTTTAAAGGCCAATAAAACATCTAGCCAGGAGTGGGAATATTTTCATCATTGGGTTGCTGAGATGGCTAAGGGAGAAGGAAAGGCAGAAGCCTCTTCCCTTAAGGCTCACAAAGCTGCTTCAGCACTCTTTCCAGGCTCCAAATAATCCCCTTCTCTCTCCCCTGTTACCTGAAAAGCTATGGTCCTGAAAGGCACTCAGGTCCCTGAACTTAACTTCTTTGGGACTTGCCCCTTTAAATCTGCAATCTCAGGGGCACTCTGAGGAAGGCTTACAGGATCCAGTTACACTATCAGGTCTTGGATCCTTTCGAATTCCCCAACCCCCTTTCCTCAGAATAATAATAATAATGATAATAATAATAATAATAGCCAATTTGTGTTGGGGGGTTTTCTAACAAGCCTCTAATTCCCTCTCTCTGTGTCATTAAGTGCGCACTATGTCACTATGTATTGTATTTGTCCTGTCAGTTTGTGTGTTGATGTGTGTCTGTGTATGTATCTGTACCTTGTAAGATTTTAAATGCAGCCAGAGAATTCTAAGGGCTGCAGCTAGGGAGGCAACAGATTGTAAAACTTCTTTCTTGTGGGTCCAGGCCTGGCCAGCCTAGACCTACAGTGAAAACTTAGATACAGCTAAAGACTTCTTAGCCGATTCTGGAGGTTTTGAGATCAATCATTAAGAAATTGGGAAGTTGTTCATTTTGGGACTGTTGGAGAAAACTTCTGAGACTGAGGTAATTCCAGGAGCTCACCCTCTGCTAAAACACCTCCTCCCAATCCTGATTCCTCAGCATTCCGCACTCCCTCTTCAGAGATAAGCATCTCAACAAGGGGATTGTAAAAGAGAAGAGAATGCTGGAGAATTGTAGGGAAAACTTAAATCAGCCTTCCTTATCTGGCAAAAGGAGGAGAGGGGCAGCTAACACAGACTAGCAGTGATGGTCTGCTCTATGCCCCTGGGCATCTTGCAGCCCACCCTTCTAGGCAAGGCCTGGGAGTAACATTCAGGTTCAATGTGTTAGAGTTAGAAGGGCTTAAGTTTCCACAGGTAGAATAATGCAGAGATTTAAAGGACAAAAGGTCCCAGGAGGTGGTACACTGTAGGTGGGCTGGGCTTGACCAATAGGAAGTAAATGGATTGTTCCAAGAAGACCCCAAAATCAAGATAGGGGTCGAGCCAGCTCAGACCAGTTAGG